CAAAGATACTAAGAACATACCTTGCAAAAAGGATCATCTTTTCAATCAATGGTGCCGGGAAAACTGGCTATACACAGAAGAATGAAACGAGACCCCCCAACTTTCACCATATACAAAAATAAACTCAAAATGGATTAATCCTTAAATGTAAGATCTAAAATAATGAAACTACTAGAAAAAAAACTGGGACAACATCATAAGACATTGGCCTGGGCAAAGATTTGGCGCAACAAAAGCAAAAATAGGCAAAGGGAATTATGTCAAGCTAAAAAGCTTCTGTACAACAAAAGAAACACTTAACAAAATGAAGAGACCTCTAGAATGGGAGAAAACATTTGCAAGTACCCATCTGACAAGTCATTAATAACCAGAATACATAAGGAAATCAACTTGACAATAATAAAACAAATTATACAATTCAAAGAGGGCAATGACACTTCTCAAAAGAAGACAGACAGATGGCCGAAGGTATGTGAAAAAATGCTCACAACCAATCAGAGAAATGCAAATCAAAACTAGTCATCAGAGAAATGCAAATCAAAACCCCCATGAGATATCCTCTCACCCCAGTTAGAACGGCTATTATCGAAAAGACAAAAAACAACAAATGCAAATGTGGACACAGAGATGGGGGGAACGCTCGTACACTGTTGGTGGGAACGTGAAAAACTACAGCCATTATGGAAAACCATACAGAGGTTCCTCAAAAATTAAAAACATAGAACTACTCTATGGTCCCGCAATTCCACTACTGGGCACAGATCCAAAAGAAAGGAAATCATATCAAAGAGACATCTGAACTCCCACGTATATTGTATATTGCCGTTCTATTCACAAAAGCTGAGGTACCACCTAGGGATTCAACCTAAGTGTCTGTCAACAGATGAATGGATCAAGAAAATGTGGTCTACGTACACATGTGTGTGTGTGTATATATATATATATACAATGAAATAGTCAGCCATAAAAAGAATGAAATCCTGTCATTTGCAACAACATGAATGAAACTAGAGGTCTTTATGTTAAAAGAAATAAGCCAGGCACAGAAAGACAAATATTCCACATCCCGCATTCTCACTCGTAGGCAGGAACTAAACAAGAGGATCTCATGGAGGTAGAAAGTAAAATAGTGTTTACCAGAAGCTGGATACATACCCTCCGTACAGAAGGAGAGACAGGGGGTGAAGATAAGTTGGTTAATGGGTACAAAAATACAGTTAGATAGAAGGAATAAGTTCTAGGATTTGATAGCACAGTAGGGAAATTATAACAATAATTTATTGTATATCTCTAAGGCGCTAGAAAAGAATTCTAATGTTCCCAATACAAAGATATATGCTCGAGGTAATGGATAATCACCCTGATTGGATCATTACACATCATCAAATATCACATGTGCCCCCAAAATATGTACAACTGTGATAATATGTGTAATTCTTTCAAAATTAGTTTTTTTTTTTTTTAGTTTAGTTTTGGGTTTGTTTTGTGTTTGGTTTATTTTGAGGATTTTGTTTCTTTGTTTGTTTAAGAGACAGTGTCTCACTCTGTAGGCCAGATTAGAGATTAGGCATCAATATAGATCACTGCAGCCTCAAATTCCTGGCCTCTCAGGACTTTCCCAACTCAGTCTCTCAACTAGCTGAGACTACAGGTCTGTACCATCACACCCAGTTAAATTTTTTTTTTTTTTTCTTTTACAGACAGGGGTCTAACTATTGCCCAGGCTGGTCTCAAACTCCTGGCCTCAAGCAATTCTTCTATGTCAGCTTCCCAAAGTGCTAGGATAACAGGCCTGAAGCCACCACAACTAGATTATTTTTTTTAAAGACTACATGTTATTTTCCAGCATACTTTGCCTCTGGTATCTTCTGAGCAAGATTATCGAGTGACATTCACAACTACTCTGGACAAGTAATTATTGACTCACCAGACTTTGGAAGTTTCTATTAAAATTAAGAAATAGCTGGTGGTCATGCTCTAGGCTCCCCTGGATTCAAGTCTAACACTTCCTCCTGTGGACTCAATCCTGCCTACGGTCTGACTGTCCTGAGTTGTATCAACTCTTCCAAGCTCAGAGTCCAGGGAATGGAGACAACCAGGGCCAGGCACTTTTGAACAACAAAGGGGAGGCACGTGAGAAGGGATGGTGTGGGTGCAAGAACCGCATGCACAATAGGCCAGGGCCTAAAAAGTGACTCATAGTTCATGGGCAAAATTCTTGGAGCGCTAAAATGAATAACATCTTTATTATGCCTCCATCTTTTCTTCTTTGGGTTTGACAACAGCCTGAAAATGCGTAGTTAGATGAAAAATATTTCAGTTGAAGAAAAATTAAAATATTTATTGCAGATAGAAATGTTCTTACATAAAAGAAGTAAGATATCTGGTTTACACGGACTAGGTATAGTCCAGGTTAGATAGAGTGACAAGCATGAAGATAACAGACACACACCAAGTTAGAGGTGGAAATCCTCCCTACACTGAGCATCTCCATGGAGTTCAAAGTCCGATTCTCTTTTCCTTCTAACTTTACATAAAGACCACAAAACGGATTTCAGTTCCCCAATCTCAAAATACCCCAAAGGAAGTTATCACTTTCAGCAGTAATTTTTCTTTGTCTGAAAATTATTCTTAATTTTCATCTTAAGGCTCCTTTTTTAGTATGCCTGAATACTTAGCCAATTTCTGGGCTTCCTTATTCTAAAACTTTCACTTTTGCATTTGTTTTATATGGTAATCGTTGTGATGTGTAAATTTAAACATATAATAGAATTGCAAGAGGCTACGTCCCTCAGATACTAGGCTTCTGTCTTCAAATTAAAACAAACGAGTTGGAACCTAGGAGAGTTTGCCAGTGACTTAATTGCATTTTATCACTGTTAATTATTTCCCTTCCCTAACTATTCATAATACTGTCATATCTGGGACATGGTACACTGGGAAGAATCCTAGAATACTTTGATCTAAACAACACTAAGGGACTCACCTCCCAGTAGTAGATCTAAACCTCAATTCATCTTTACTCCCCTCCTGCCACCATCCCTATTGTCAGTCCGGTTCATAAAGTTACTTCTGAAAGACCGGCAGGAACGTGCAGTGGGCCTTTTCCCCTACTAAGACTGGCTAATGATTTGACAGCGCTTCCAACTGAAAACCACAGTCAGCAGTTCATCAAGCCAAATCTCGGGAATAACCGAGCATTCCAGGTATGAAACATTGACAGAAAAGCGCGTCTTTCCAAGGAGCGTGGGGGGAGCGAAGTGAAAACGGCCCCTTTACCTGCTGCACGCTGGCGACTCTCATGTAGGAGTCCAAGACGATCAACAGAGGCACGTGGACATTTTTGCCTTGAAATAACGTGGAGGCTAGAAAAGAAAGGGGTGAGGGAAAAGAAGCCAAGTTACGATCCACCGCACCCCTTTTTAAGTCGGAAAAGAGGAGAAAAAGTAAAGGAGGTGAGCCCAAGATCTTCCTGGAATTCCCAGCCCCTTTCTGCCCTGAGGACAGGTGAAGGGAGTTTACTTAGCTTCTCAGGGTCGGGTTTGGAGCAGCTCCGAGAGCGGGGAGAAAAGTTTCCCAAAGTGGGGAGCAGGGGGGAAAGGAACCGTTTCCTTGCAGTGGTTACCGTAGTCGGCGTACGTGAACACCAGCATATCCTCCAGGATCTGGACCAGCGTTTCTATCTGTTTTCCTTCCTGGACATTGTTCAGCCTGACTATCAACTTCTTCAGAGTTTCCTCGTCTTCCTCGCACCCCTGACAGCTGCCACTGGCCATGGTGGCTCCCGCTCCACACCGCCGCCACCCTCGGGGCCCGATTGCGCGCGGCTCGGGGCAGGGCAGGGGCGCGGGCGCAGCTCCGGGGACGACCGCAGGTCAGCACCCGCAGCCCGCGCTGCCCGCGAGCCCCATCCGACCTGCTCCGCCGGGGAAGAGGAAGGCGGCGGCTCCCCGCCCCGCGCCGCCCGCCCGCTCCCCAGCCCTCCTCCCCGGCTTCCTCCTCCCCCACCCAGGCCCCAAAAATGAGCTCGGTGGCCTGCGGCAGGCTCCGCAGAGGCGACCGGCCTGCTGCTGAAGCGGGCCGGGCAGGACTGACCGTGACCGCGGCCCCCACGCCCGCCGAGACCCGGACCCGGCGGGCTCCGCCTCCTGGGACCAGATTCCGCTCCCCGCGGAGTCGCAGGAAGAAACTGACTCAGCGGACTCGCCGGTTCCGAGGCCCGAGCACCGCACCGCGGGGAGGAGGCTGCAGCCCGGCCTGCCGCGCTCCGCCAGCCGCCGGCCGGGGGCTCCTGCAGCCCCGCGGAAGGTCTGGGAACTAGGAAGAGAAAAAATGAAAGCCGCCTATCTTCAGATCTAAGAATAGAAATTAGGGCGTTGGGAAAAGAGGACACCGCCCAGTTTGGCCCCTTTTAGGAAAACATTCTCTTTAGAGTTCCCCCTATAGGGAGCTGAGTAATTTCCCCCAAAGGATGGAGAGAGGCTGGCAATCAAAACTTGCCCAGTGACTGTCTTTACTGTGATTGTTGTGGCTGTTTGTTGGGGAGGAAGCTCTGGTCGCCAAAAGGCCACTAAATGAACTTTTGAACATTTCAGTTTGCTCCAGGCAGGATCCTGATAGTTGAGGCGCAACGAAAGTGGTCAGGTCTCTGCACTATTACAATAAAGAGAAAGATAGGGGCCTTGAAATAAAGGAGAAAGGGTGAACGAAGCAAACCTCACGGCCCTTCTCTTAGTATCCAGGATTGCTCGTGAGTACTGGAGTCTATAGACCTACAGCTGAGAGAAAAGTGCTCAAGCGACGTGTTTTTCAGGAAAAGAAACCTCCATTAGAGCACAGCAGACAAGCCTGAGAAAAGTTGATCTAGTGCCTTCAGATGATTTATCCTCAAGGTCACGTACAAAAGAAAGGATTGAACTGGAAGTTACTATTTCACAATTGTAGATTTTCTTTTCATATGCATTATCTCATCCTTCTGACAATCCTGAAATGGATACGATCATCTCTACCAGGCATCCTTCTTTCACTAATGAGGAAATTGAGATTTGGAGTTGATAAGTGAAGGGCGGTGCTAGAGTCACACAGGTGGGAAGTTGAGAGCCAGGACTTAACCCCAAGCAGATCGAACACCGGATTAGAGGTTCTTCACACTCTACCCTTCTGATTAATCAGAATGAACTAGCGCTTCCTTCATACATTAGATTAGTACAACAGCAAGTTCTGACTCAGTCTGATTATTGCAAATATGTCAGTTGTTGTAAATATGTTAGCATATCTTTTTATATTTTAAAGAGACATACTAAAATATTTACGGTTGAAATGTTAGGATTTGTTTCATAGTAATCCAAAGACAGGAGAAAAGATGAAATGGGTGGAGGTAGAGATAAAATGATAACAATTATTGAATTAATAATTGCTGAAGTGATAGTTTCGTGTGGCCTATTTGGACTGTTCTCTCTGTATAAAATTTTCCATAATGGAAAAAAGCTCCCAATCTGATCATCTTCATCAGACCTTTACATCTTTTTCTAAGTGGTTTCTGAACTTGTTTCAACTTCTAACGACTCCTCAATGTCTGAAACATTCCTAGGAATTCTCCTTTCATGCCTTCCTTCCTATTCCTCTGTATCTGTTTCTCAATTCCCAGTCTACTGGATTAACACCTCGCAAGAAATTAAACCCTACCTCCCTTCTGAAATAAGGAAATCTAAATTTTAAAAGGCTCCTAATTTCCACAATTTATTCCTTCACCTATTGCTAATGTATTGTCTACCCTATGTCGGCCAGACGGTGACAAGGCCATGTGGGGATATCAGTTCTCTGTGGGAAGCATTCTCCCATGAATTACTACAGTGGAACAGCAAAGTGTTCTCTTAGCATTCAAAATGTTTACCTAACAAAATTCCCAAAGCTTATCAATGCCTCAGGTAGTTATCAGGACTGAAAATGAAGACAACGGGCACAAATGCATGGCTGAGGAAGTGCTCAGTGGAGAATAAAAATGTTTTTATTTTGAATGTAGCATGCAAAACTGTTTAATTGAGTAACAAAATTCCCAAGACTTAGTTATCAAGACTGAAAATGAAGACTACAGGCCCAAACTGATGGTGGAGGCAGTGTTCAGTGGGGAATACAATGGTGTTGGAACATTGGGCTAATTTCCCAAAAAGGAAAAAGAAAAAAAATAAAACCAACATTACTAATTACAGCAAACACCAAAACAAATTCCAGATAAATTAAAAAGTTAAATAAAATAGGGCGGTGCCTGTGGCTCAAAGGGGTACTGGCCCCTTATGCTGGAGGTGGTGGGTTCAAACCCAGCCCCAGCCAAAAACTG